ATGCCAGGATATCTGGTGGTGAAACACTATTTTGCTTAAATGGTTATGCTTTGACCTGCACTGTTTTGTTGTTTTGCCCTCTTTTATTTCAATATCCTTTTTTAAAATTACTTACTTTTTTATTTTTATCTTTTTAATTAAGGGAAAAATAAAAAAAATAGAGGGATACATTATAGTAACCCGCTTGATTTCCTATTAACTTGATTTGAAACCCTGTATAGTCCTCACCACCTTGCTTTGACTGATTTTCCTCTATTCTGTTTTGCTTGATAGTACCAAGTTCAAAAGTATAGGCAAAACCGTAAAGACAATAAGATTCATTATGACGCCCATTCTGGCTGACTATTATCTTCTTTTAAAGTCCTGTAATGTCTCCAATGTTTTGGTTTTATTCTTTACTGTTTTGTTCAGTTTTATTATAACTGATGATATAGGCAATAGTTTTTAAGATAGCAAGAGGCAGTATGATAATCATTGTTGATCACCTAGTATTTTGTTTTTACATTATCTATTATGTCCATCCTTTTGCTTTGACTGACTCTGTTCTGTTATGTCACATTTGGTTTTACTCTCTTCAAAAAAAAGTAATAAGAACTGTGGGAGCAACAAAACCCAACATGTGTAATTGTCATTGTACAAAAGAAAGAAAAAGAAAGTGCTCTAAAGAATATAACTACATATATATTTAAGTGTATAAGATAGATAACCATATTACTGAGTTTTGTTGGATCATTGAAGAGAACTGTTTCCAGTCTCACTATTTGAAAGTCCACTTTGTATGCTTTAATTTTGTAACTTGAACAACTATTTCTAAGATAACAATATGTAATCTATTAACTAGTGATTTCCTATTGTTTATGTTTCTGAGATTCTGTATACCTTGTACCTTTTTCTATTTTTTTGTTTTTCTCCTTAAATAAAAAAACAAACAAAAGACTCAATCCAAAAATCTGAAATGAATAGACATGTCTCAGATGAAGGAACACAAATAGCAAATAAATATATGAGAAAATGTTCAACATCACTGGTCATTTGAGAGATGCAAATTAATATTCTTTTTTTTTTTTTTTTTTTTTTTTGGTACTGGGGATCAAACTTACTACCATGTGCTTGCCAGGCAGGTGCTTATGCCACTGAGTTAAATCCTCAGCAAGAGAGATACAAATCAAAACAACACTGAGATTCCATCTCACCCCAGAAAGAATGGCTATAACCAAGCAATCACCCAGGAACAAATGCTGATGGAGCTGTAGGCAAAAAGCAACCCTTCTCCACTATTGGTGGGAGTGTATAGTGGTACAAACACTGTGGAAATCAATGTGGAGATTAGGAATTAGAGATCCTATTGACCCAGCTATTCCTTTTCTGGGTGTTTTCCAGGAAGAATTAAAGACATCGTACCACAGCAACATATATACACCCACATTTACAGCAGCACAGTTTGTAACAGCTAACTCCTGGAAACAGCCCAAATGCCCATCAACTGAACACTGGATACACTGGAGACATTCTTAGGTAAATGAACACACCCTGAGACCCTACTCTTAAGTGAAGTAAATCACACATGTGTGTAAATACTGCTTTGTCTCCCTGGTGTGAGAATCTGAAAGTGTAAATAAGGACCAAAATGTACAACAGATAATGTGAAATAGGAAGCAATTGTTCAAAAGTAAAGTGTAACTAGAGAGGGGGAAAGGGGAAAGAAAAGAAAAATTGAGAAAAGAAGGATAAAATAGAAATAAAGCTGTGTAAATAAGAAGGGGAAGAGGAATTGAAGTGAGGGGAGGGGACTGGGGCAAAAGGGGAACTCAAGATACATCATGGAGAAGTACAAACTCCCAATGATTAATGCCATCATCATGTGTATCTAAATTGTACCCACAAACTTAATTTTTAAAATGTCACTCGGGACCCTGAGAAATGCAACTCAACTAGTGACAGGGAATGGGATGAAAGTGCATGTTCCTGGAAGCCTCGTTGCAGAAGACTCAGGCTGTTTAGGCAGAGGAAAGAGGTCTGGGAAGATCATTTGTGCCCTGATCATCTAGCTAGAGTTTCCTCTGCCTTAGAGGAGCTCACCAACTCTGTCTAGGAGACCTACGGGGACAGAGAAGGGGATCAGACCCAGGGAGGTCTTGGTGACCATGGCGGCTATTTGCAACCCTCTGGTTCTGTGGATTCAAGCCAACCTGGGTCAGAACTATGTTTAAAAAGCGCCTGTGCTGGACATGAACAGTCTTGCTTGACACTACTCCCTGGGTGATAAAGCCTTTGCACTGCATTAGGTACTTAACACACAGGAGGGGACTGAGTAAGTTCTATGAGCCTCCCCACCAGTTTACACAGCACACTTGCCCAGAGCAAAGAGTGGCATTTACCAGGAGCTGGCACTCCAAGGAACAGCAGAACCGTCCACTGACGGTTCTGTTGAGGCAGTAGACAGTTTCCCATCGGAAGTCCTTGAGTCCAATCTGGCCAGCGTTGTTCACAAAATTCCTGTCAGGGCTGGGGCCTGACTGGACAGTTCCATGGTGAATTGGCCTTGGGGAAGCCCCAGTGCCCTGGCCCTCAGGGGGGTGGGGTCCCATCAGGGCTACCTTCTGCCTTCCTCCATGGGGCCTGAGCCAGGCCTTGTAGCTCAGACACCTGTGGGCAAGACGTCTGAGCTGGGAGCTGCTGGAAGGCTCCATGGGGGACAGTCCAGGAAGGGTAGCTAGCAGGGACAGGGGGAGCCCTGGAGGAGGTAAAAAGCAGGGGCCGAACACCCAGCACAGGTCCCTGGCCCTGGCAGCCCCCAAATCACACTGCCTCTCTGTTACTGATGGCAAAGTGTTCCCCTTCACTCAGCCAACAGGAGGTGGCCCTCTGTCACTTACACCAGGAGTCCTTGAGCAAGTGTCACAGGCCTTGTCCAACTCTGCCACTCCTTCCCCAGTTGGACACTACAGGGACAGCATCAGGAAAGCCCTGAGTTGGGTGATGACCATGTGCCACTGTAGTAGAAATGTCCATGCTATGAGGTCCTCACGTGGTAGAGGGGACCACTATCTTAATATACTTAGGCCAAGAGAGGCTCTCTCAGTGGCCAGAAACAGAAAACCCAGCAACCCCTGCCACACCAGCAAGGACCCTGGGTATCGCTGTCCATCCTTCCTGGTGTCCTCAGGTACCTCACTGTCCTTTGGGTACTCTCAGCCACTCCCATCTCTGGCTCCTGAACAGTCACAGTAGCCAGGGTGGCCAGAGTTCACTCAGTGGCTGAAGCCAGTTGTACAATACAATCACAGCAGAGGGCTGGGAGGAGCAAGCCAGAGGACAACAGAAGGAAACTGTAGACACATTCTGGGAGATGGAGAATGGACATTGGATAGAAAATAGATACCCACAGCAAAGGGCACCCCGATGTCACCTCTCTGGTCCTGGCCACATACAGATGCAAAGGAGATGGATGGACCCTTCTGGTAGCAAAGCTATTGAGACCAAAGCCATCATTTCTCTTCCTAGAACTCCCAATTGCCCGCCTTCCTGCTTTGCCTCCCTGGCGTGGGTTGCTGGGTTTTGTTTCTGGCCACTGACAGACCTCCCTGGGTCAGAGGTGGGAGTTCAGCATGGTCCCTGACCTGTGGGTATGGGTGCAGGTGCCAGGCCCTCCCACTGCTTTCTCCCAAGGAAAGAACAGACAGAGGCCTCTGCAGCGGGGGCGGGTGGGGTGGGGCAGGGCAGGAGGCCCAGGTGTGCTGGAGGCCCCAGGAAACATTCCTGGGTTTCGTCCTAACATGTAAACAGCCAAACAAAAGCATTAGCACTGAGGTCGGTGCTCAAGAAAGGCCTGTCGCCATAGTTATCAGGAAATGCCACTCTGGTATATAATGAGAGCTTTAATGGACGCCAGGCCATCTGATATTGCAGTCTGGGGCCAGATGAGAAGGGCCCCAGGTCACTCTTTATGTAGCTGTGGGGCAGCACAAAAAACAGCTCCATCTGCAAAAACCAGCTTTCCCTTTACTGAAGAGGTGGGGCAGGGACAGCTCAGCCCGCAGCTTTCCTTAGTGAGCACCTCGGTGCACAGCAGCTTGAAATGCACAAGAGGTGCTTGAAAAACATGTGCACGTTAAAAACATTTTTTACAGTAAAAGTCACATCCCCATCGGAATCTTCCCCCTCGCTTTGAACACACTCATCCTATCGTCCTGGCTCCTTTCTGTAGCCTCTCTGGAGTCCTCTTTCCTCAGAGTCTTTATGACATGTGATAAAAAATGCGGTGAACATTGCTAGTGAGTGCACCCAACATGACGCTGTGTCCTCGGTCCCTCGGTCACCGGACCTAGCACTATGTGACTTCCGGCCGCTCCTCAAAGTCGAAACGACCATGATTCGGAAACATTTTGAATCCATTCAGGACACCCAGGCCACCAGGACAGTGCAATGAAAGGCTCTCAGGAAAGAAGACTCCAGAGCTCCTGCAGGAAGTGTCCAGGACCACTGGACTCACATACCACAGGACTCACTGGGATGAGTGTGTTCAAAGTGTGGGGGACGGTGTGGATAAGATTCATGGCCACATCTCCTTTACTGTAAAATGTTTTTCTTTATTTAAACACACACGGCACTTTCCCATCACACCTGGATGAGGGCCTGGCCAGCTCAACGTGGGTCTACCCGCAATGGAGGGGTAGGGGCGGGGTTAGTGTGCTCTTTTCTTTGGTCCACAAGTTTATTCCCAACACAGAGGTGTCTAATAAGGACACCTCGTTTCTTTCCCCAACAGCACCTCCAGCCCCGGACCATCAGTGCCCCTGGCTGGAAAGCTCCAGCCGCGGGACCGCGGGCCTCTAGTGGCGCAGGTGGAGGAGGTAGACCAGTGGCGCCCCCGTAGGAACAAAACAAGACCGCGGGTGCTTGCGCCTGCGGCGCGTGTCGCTGGCCAATCGGGGCGCGGGGCGGGGCTAGAGGGGGCGGGGAGTGCGTCTCCGGCCAATCGGGGCTCGGGGCGGGACGCGGGGGCGGAGCGTGGGGGTCCCCTGCGCAGCCCGCGGCGCTTCGCGGAGCAGGCGCTAGCGCATCCTTGTCCCGCAGCCCGTCCGGCCTCGTCTCCGCCGCCGCCGCCGCGCCGTGGCATGGCCTGTCTGATGGCCGCCTTCTCGGTCGGCACCGCCATGGTGAGTGGCGCCGCCTTCGGCGCCGGGCTGGGTTTCTTTCTGAGGAGAGCCCGCGGCGCACAAAGACCGGCGCGCCGCCATCCGCACAGCGGCGTCCTGCCCTCGGGGTGCTGACCCGGGAGGCGTTCGTCTCCGAGAGCCCCTCGCCCATAGAGCCTTTCGGGTACTCCATGTCCTGGCCGGGTCGCGGGGCAGCCAGCGGCCCCACAGGTGGACGGATGCTCGGTTTCACAAAGGGGCGTGGGGCCTCGGGGACCCGGAGCGCTCAGGGAGGGGGTGCGGCCCGGGCCCCTGGGAAGGGAACATTGATGCGGGGCGCTTGGGGAGCGGGGACTTCTGCACCCCAAGAAGCTCTGCACACGCTGAGAACAAAAGGTAGAGCTACTTCCCCAACAGATCCTGTGCTGGTCCTGCGCTCCCCAGGGACAGCGCCTCGTGGAGGGGGCGGCGGAGTCCCCGGAGACGGGAAGGCGAGCCTGAAGCTCCGTGCGGCCTTCTGCACCAGGGTGGACACAGGGGCTCGCACCTCGCTCTGGAGGGTGGCAAAGGTCCCAGCTCAGAGCGAAGAACACCCGATGCTGGCGTCTTCAGGGCTGTAGATACTGTTGGCGGCACAAGTGCTGCTCCTGGCTGGCCAGGCATCATGGTTGATGCGTTTTCTCTCACCCGGGAAAACGAAAACCAAAGTCACCGTCAGCCACCCGCGCGCCCACCTCGCCTCTGCCCGGGCCCTTTAGGTCTGCGTCCAGTACAGCCACACTGTGGTTAGGTGGGCGCCTGCGCAGGGTGTCAGGCCACCCAGAGCGTCTTCACACAGCAGGTCGTCCGTGACCCACCCTGGAGCATCCCTACCTCCCATCTCAGTGTATTACTATCCTGCCGGCTCCTTCCCATACACTGTCAACCCACAGAGCAGAGCACGCGCCGCCCCTTCATTTCATTTTTAGCATCCTGTGTTTGAAGTCAGCAGGGCTCAGCAGGATTTGACCGACAGTTACCTCTTGCCTTGAGCTCAGGGAGAAAAAAAGTAACCTGCTTTGTGCGCATGCCTTCTCTGACGATTGCACCCTATGATTCCAAACAGGTTACTGTAGAACATACCAGCTGCGCCAGCTCATTACATAATGATTCCGTGTAAACCGAGAGAATGGGGCGATGGGGTCGGTGGGGAGTGGGGCGAGCAGGCTGGGGAACCCCCCCCCCAATTTCTCGGCTTGCTTCCTGGCTTCCTACACACAAGAAGCAATGAGAAAAAAAAAAAAAAATCGGAAAAGCCAAATCCCTGCTTGATGACATTTGCTAGTTCAATGTTTGGGTAGCACTTGAAAAAGTCTTCACTTACTCTCTCCATTTTCTGCCTTCTGCTGGCAATGGAGCCTTAGGGTTACTGGTGTCTTTTGCAGGTAAAGGAGGTATATGGAGCCCAGGGTAACCCTCCTGCTCTTTCTGGGGCGGCAGAGGTAGCTAGGAGATTTGAATGAATGAGTTAGATGGCTTTAAAGTATCTTTGAAGATACAGACTCTTTGTAGTGTTTTTGTTTGTTTGCTTGTTTTTTGTTTTTAGTATTATTATGCTTTCATGCAGCCCCAGAGCTGTGTGTGTCTTCTTCACACTTGGAGATGCTAATTGTCAAGGATGTTGTTTTCAGGGAAACTTGTTTTGCTTGATAATCACTTTCCTTCCTGAAAATTTAGTGGGTTTTGTTGTGTTTTGTTTTGAATTTGGGAATGTCTGTGCTTATCTATGGGCATGCCACCCTAATGTGTCTCTTCCCAAGGTAGGCAGGGTCAGGGCTGGCTGGAACTACCATACATGGGAGGCAAGTGAGAAATAGTGGGTGCTGTGGGGATAAAGAAAAACAAATTTTAAAAATTAAAAAAAAATTCTATGCAAGGGACCTTGACAAATCCCCAGCACCCCTGCCCTCATTGCCTCATTTTCCCCTGTTCTGATGTCTAACGGGTGCTGATCTGATAGTGACCAGGGTATTCAAGACTGCAGCTGGGGTCATTGGGCTCAGGTGGGCACTCAGGGAGGAGCACATTCTCAAGGGCCACTTGAGCTCAGTCTGCACTTGGGACTCAGCTCAGGGTGGGGTGTGACATTGTAGTCACTTTGCTGTGTGCAATTGCCACGCAGATTGTGGGTCCAGCACATTTTCCTCTGATGTTCCCGGGATGCCAGGGAGCTGTGGTGTGGGTGGGCACCACAGCAGGCAGCAGGCAGCAGAGAGAAGAGGGAGAAGATTCTCTTCGCCACAATGCATAAAGAAAATGTTTCCCAACTCTGTGTCCCAGCAAAGGAGTCTGGCAGTGCCCGGTGTGCTTGCTGGTATCTCGGTGTGCTTGCTAGTATCTCGGGCTTTCCCAGCTGCACCGGCCTCTCTCATGCCCTGTGTTCCAGATGAGCTCCCAGCCACTGCCCTGCACCCAGGAGCCCCGTGCTTGGAGGTACAGACCCCTCAACAAGCAGCCTCAGGGTGACCTGCTGTTGTTTACCATCCGCAGCATGGGTGTGGGGCGGGATCCAAGGTAGCCAGCCCCTGGGAAGGACCCGGAAACACAAGAATGAGAGAGAAGAATGGGAGGGATAGATGTTTGCTGTATTTTTAATGAGCTCAGGAGACGAAGGGAATGCTTGATGTAACCTATATTGCTGGCAGCTCGCATCCGAGGATGTTTCCAGAGAGCTGGTCTATTTTGGAGTGACAGGTCACTGCCTCCCGTCACACATTTTTTGTGTGATTTTGTTAATTGGGTGAGGCCACTGGACACTGTGGAGGAGGGCTGGATCGTGTGTGTTGCTGGGGTAGGGCTGTGGGAGGATGGGGCTGCAGTAGGGTCTCCAGAGTGTGCTGTGGACTGTTCGGGGGTGGATGGACCTGGGGGCTCCCACACATTGCTGCAGAGAGCTAAGCAATGCCCCAGTGATGCTGGCTTGAGGTTTGCAAGGCTAGACCCCGCCCCACCTCTAGCGCAGAACTGGGGCCAAGGGAGGTTCCAGCCTGGAGATGGTCACATCCCTCCCCACCCGTTAGAGCAGGAGATGGTAGAGGTTAATCTACACAAGCTGGATTTAACAGGCATGCTGTGCCCGCTGAATCAATGGCACTGTTGTTTACAGTCACCTAGCAGGCACCCAGCATCCTTCATTAATGCTTTATATTGTGAGCTCCTAACGCTGGCCTGTCTGCCTCACCCCCAAAGCAGCGTGAGTACCAGCTCTGCCTGTTGTGTGTCCACTTGTCTCCACTCCTGTTAGGGCCTGCTGGTCAAGGCCACCAGGCACCTGCCCACCATGGCACCTGGCTGAGTTTAGCCTCCAGCCTCCACTGTCTCTGCTGCCCAGGCTCTGCTCTGTGCCACTGGCTCTCACTTCACCCACTGTGCTGGCCCCTTTCTCACCTGTGGCCTCATCTTGAACTTGAGTTAGCTGAGATGGGAGGAAGCTTGTCTGGCTGCCGGCTTTGTCTGGTGCTGTTGTCGCCGGTGTGAATGAGTGCGTGCAGGAGAGACCAGATGGGCTCAGGGCCTGGGGGAGAGGACACCCCCCCCCCTCATGCCACATGTCTGATGCCTCACATCTGGCACCACAGCTGGCTGGCTGGGACCATGGCTGCTCACCCCCTGGCTTTCTGTGGGTTTTCCAGGGCCTGGGTACCTGCAGGAGGTGCCTATGGGGAGGGATGGATGATCCACTGCAGCTGGAACCTAAGGGTTGCAAGAGTTGCCAGACCACTGCCCCCACCTCGCCCCATCTGAACACCTAGCCCTGGGGGCTCTGACTTGGCGTAGGCATGGTTTTGGGGGGGACAGCACTTTGAGCCTTTTTGCTTACAAGGTGAGGAGGGGCCTGGGATGCCCACAGAACTGGCCAGAGCTGACCATCTTGCCACACTGCCGCTTGATACCCCTGTTCCCAAAGCCAGGACCAGGTGCTTCACAGGCTACTTTCAGGTCCACGTGGGCTATAAACCTGTGGCCTCGAAAGGCAGCCAGGATGGCCAGAGAGAAAGTGTCCGGAGGCCTGCTTAGAAGCTGTCACCAAGGTGATCTAGGACAGTGTTGTAGGACCCCGTCAGTAGCCCCTGTGTGGAGGGCCCTGGAGCAGACACAGAGGCTGCCTGCAGAATGCCCTGCTGAGGACCTGCAGGATGGACACAAACCTTCCCTGGCTCTGTCTGGGACCTGCAAACCTGCTGGTGTGGGCATTCGCAGTGGCATACACACGCAGTGCTGCCAGGCCGACTTGGAGTTTCCTTTGGCCCCCAAGACGGTGCATGCCCACAGGTTTGTGGCAGTGATGAGGTTTTGCCATGGTGAAGTCTCTTGGAGGGAGGAGAGGCCTGCAAAGCATGTGTATCTTTGCACATCTTTCTCTTAAATCCAAAAAGATGCTTTCCATCTCCAGGAGACCTAGAATTCCCATGCCAGCCTCTGCCACCCAGCCCGCTTGTGCTTTAAGCATCTAGAGGCCCCCAGGTTAGGCAGACTATGGAACCCTCCAGTTGCACGGGGTCTACTGCCAGCTCCTACCCAAGTCACTTCAGCGCTCTCGAGAGCGCATGCCGATGTGCAGGGATGACCTCAGAAACCACTGGGTTTGTGGAGGATTTTATGGACAATCTGTGGTCTGTTTTTGTTTTTTGTTTTTTTTTTTTTTTTTTTTTTTTTATCGGTACCGGGGATCGAACTCACGACCGCCTGCTTGCAAGGCAGGTGCTTATGCCACTGAGCTAAGTCCCCAGCCCCTGTGGTCTGGTTTTGTTGTGGGTTTTTGATAAACAGTAGTGAGCTGGGCATATGGGGGTGCACGCCTGTTATCTGAGCACTCAAGAGGCTGAAGCAGGAGTATCACCATGGGGACCACCATGAGGTAGCCCAGCCTGGGCTACTTAGGGAGTTCAAGGCCAGCTTGGAATACATAGTGACAGCCTGGTCTCAGAAAACAAAATTTAAAAAAATAAAGGAAGAGAGTACTGACAAATAGCAAGCAACTCAAAGACACAGTTAAACCCTACAGTCAGAAAACAGTTGACGGCAGCAGCAGCCGCCCTCAGCCCTGCGCAGCCAGTGTGGCTGGGCTGTGGGCTCCCACAGTGAGGGGCAGGCTCTCTGGGCAGCTGATGTCCACAGCCCAGGCGATGTAGCAGAAGGCTCGCATCATGGCACCACGGGAGGTACTCACTCAGTTTGGGAGACAGGAAAGTTCAGCATAGTACCTGCTGCTGGTACTGCTGCACTCCGAGGTCCCCGCAGTGTATTGATTGGATCGGGGCTGCCAAGCCATTAGAGGCGCTGAGCACGCTCTCTGCCCCAGCACTTCAGGTTCTTGGCCTGGCTGCTGCAGTCTATCTGACCCCCGGTGGGAGCTGTGGGAGCCAGCACTGGGGGCTGAGGTGCAGCTCCTGGGCAGCACTTGCCCGGAGTGTACAAGGCCCTGGGTCCCATCGCCAGCTCTGTTTGGAAGAGAAAAACAAACAGCGAAGCAGCCTTACCGTGCCACCAGCTCAACCCCACGCGTGTTCCAGTGCCTCGAGTTTGTGATCACTCGTGCTGCTCACTCCCCTTGGAGCAGGTTAAATTATCTGGCCCTCAATTTCCTTTTCTCTATCACAGTAAACACCTGCGAGCCTTGCCAGCCCTTCGGGGTCGTTATGAAATCACAGAGCTGACAGTGATTCGGAAACTTTCAAAGTCTGAAGCCTGCTCCTTCCGGAGGCTGTTATGAGACCGCGCAGGGCAGGTGCTGGTACAGCGCGATAGTATTAAAACATTTACGGCCGCGCATTGTTTAAGCGCTCTGTGTGTCTTTATTGAGGGTTCTTTATGAGTGAACTGTAAATAACTTTTCCCGGTGCTCAGTAGTTTTCCATTGAGGTGGGGGATTCCTTTGTTATGATTTTGTGATTAGACTTCATGATTCCAGAGGCAGGGCTGCAGGTCAGGTGACATTTTATCCAAGCGCGTCCTGGGGAGAAGGAAGAAAGATGGTTAGCGATGACAGTCCCCGCGGGTAGCTGTCTGTCTTCAGCCTTGGAGCAGTGTAAGAAGCACTGCTGTTTCCCTAACCAGTGACCCAAGTCTAGTGACCAGCGTCTCAATATCCCTCTTCCATGCACCCTGTAATGCGTCTTGTGGCCTCCTCATCCTTCTAGAATGCCAGCAGTTACTCAGCTGCAATGACGGAGCCCAAGTCCGTGTGTGTCTCGGTGGATGAGGTCGTCTCCAGCGGCGTGGACGAAGTAGAGACCGACCTGCTCAATGGGCACCTGAAGAAAGTGGACAACAGCCTCACTGAGGCCCAGCGCTTTTCCTCCTTGCCCCGGAGGGCAGCCGTGAACATCGAGTTCAAGGACCTTTCCTACTCTGTTCCCGAAGGACCCTGGTGGAGGAAGAAAGGTAGGAGCGAAGGCGCCGTGGGGGTGCAACCCGGCTGGGCCTGGAAGTTGGAGGTCCGGGGTTCTCTTCTGGCACTCCTGCAAGCTTATTCAGTTGTCTTGTGCCTGGCTGTTTCTCGCCAGTGAAACAAATAGGTCGGATTAGGCGATCTGACTGTTCACAGTGACACTAACATTCTGTGATACGATTACTGGTTGAGTATCTTTTTGTAAACGCTTGGAACCGGAAGGAAGCGTGTCAGGATTTTGGATTTGTGCAGCTTTGGGAATTCGTGCACGTACATGATTCGATGTCTTGGGGAGGGACCCCAGTGTAAGCACGACGATCATCAGGGTGGCGTGTATACCTCAAGCTGGGCTAGAGGTGATTTTAGACAGTGTACCTGTGTCTTGGCTGGGACCTGATATGTGAAGTCAAGTATGGAAACTTCTACTTGTACAGTCAGGTGGCATCAAAAAGTTGAGACTTTGGAGCATTTTGGGCTTAGATGCCCCTCTTGTGCAAAGAACCCACGACAGCTGGGCAGGGTCAGCTGGTAGCTGCTTTGTGTGCATGCCCGAGGGTCCACTTCAGGGAGCACTGGGACCTTTGGCTCACGGCAGCCTTTCAGGTTGAAGCATTTCTGACCATTCAGAGCAAAACAGGAGTTGGGGGCTGCTTCTTGAGTCTGAAGTGTTAAAAGCAGCGATGGGCCTGGCATGCCCTTGCTGAGAGCTGTTTTTCTTCTAGGGCCTTGGAAGGAGTCTTGGGTGGCTGATCCTGGTGGGCTGTAGAGAAAACCAAACTGTCGTAAGGTGATCAGTGTAAATCAGAAGAGGAAGGAATCCGGAGGGTTGAGCTCAGGAAGTCTCTGAAGCTTGTACACAGTGCAGAACTTTGTCACCAGCTGGTGGGGACAGAAGTGGCACGTGAGAGCAGCACTTGCCTCCCTGGGTGGCTGGGTCTTTCTGGGTCTGCTGCCTCCCTGGACCTTGTCTCCATCCCCTGCCCCTACTATGTGCACACACAGGTCACCCACCCACAAAGGAACCTGCCTATGGGGGAGGGACTGGAACCAGACATCGCCAAGGTGGCTCTGGTTTCCAGTGTCACTGAAAGTGGCTTAGAGATCTGAGAGGTGGAATAGTGTAACGTTTTTTTAAGACTCAACTTTTTAATCTAGACTCAACCCTTCTTTCTTTTTCAAAACCAACAAAAACTCTCTGCTATTTTTTTTCTTTTGTGCTGGGGATCGAACTCATGACCTCACACTTGCCAGGCAAGCACTTATGCCACTGAGCTAAATTCCCAGCCCTTCTCTGCTTTTCTTCTACCTTGATTTCTCCTTTGCCCTTGTGTTTTGTGTTTCCATCTTCTGTTGGCACAAGTACTGGGGACTTGGCACAGCTGTGGAGCCTCTGCAGGCGGCTGAGCCCTGGGACTTTTGGGTCAGGGGCAGTAGAGTTGGGTCTGAGGTCTTCACAGCCAGGGGCCAGTTCCACACCCTCTTCAGGCTGCTCACAGGGTGCTCTCACCTGATGAGGGCATTTTCAGTGTGTGCCAGCTTGCTCTGGTAGAAGTTCTGTGCCAGCCTCGAGTTTGGGCCCATCCTGTCGAGCCCGTTGGAATTCCATGTGGGCACTGAGCCTTCGCCCTCTTGACTGGCAGGAAGATTTTAAGGAAAAATGCAACAGGAAGCCAGGGGCCCTGTCATGTTTGGGCCTCACTTGTTTGTGTAAATTGTGGCAAACCTGTGTCAGGTGTAGTGTACTCTCTGTCCACCTACCTTGTGTGCCTTAGGGATGTCACCACAGGCATCAGAATGCACGTGGGTGTCGTGCATGGTCTACCACACAGTAGAGCTGGGCAGCACATGAAGCCCAGCACACGAGGTGCCACCCAGCTGTTTGCAAGTGTATATCTTGGCCAGCTGGGTGTCTCGCCCACCCTGCGTTGGGAGATATTGGCCAGCAGTCAGTCAGTGGGTGATGGCTCTGGGGCAGCCAGGTGGCCCTGGGTAGATACTTGCCCTGTAGTAACCTTGGTGTGGGGCAGCAGGAAACGGCCCTAAAGGACTCACTGGTGACTCAGAGGTGATGGAGCCAGGGGAATGACAGACAGGCTCGGGGACCGTGCTCTCTGACTTCCTCTTCCTCCTCCTCCTCCCTCTCCTCCTCCTCCTCCTCAGCGGTGTCCTCTCTGTCCCTGCCTGCCCTCCTGTGTGCCCCATCCCTGTCTTTATCACCAGGACCCATCCTTCAGGATCTAGGCGGGCATGCCTCACCACACTCTCCCTCTCCTTGAGGCACAGAGGAGACTGAGGCCAGCGCGGCGAAAGCCTTAACCAGTGCGCTGACTTCCCCCTCCGGTCAGCTTGGCATGGAGGCCATGCCTGGCCTAGCCCAGCGGGGCCCATCCAGGACCCTCAGGTGTCCTGGGCAGTGACGTGGTGGCCTAGACTAGAGTCCACAGCCAGGGCAGCCTTGCATTTTCTCAGCCAGTTTCTTCCTCACTGCGCTCCCCACCGGCACCCTCATCATCCAGCACCATCTTCCCTGCTCAGACTCCCAATGATAAAGTGTGAGTTAAACCTGGACCCACAGCAGGCCCACTGGCACCTGCCTGTCATCCCAGTACTCCGAAAGGCTGAGTCAGGAGGGTCTCAAGTCTGAGCCCAACTGGGCAACTCATCGAGACCATTTCAAAATAAGTAATAAAAAGGGCTGAGGATGTAGCTCAGCATAAAGGTACTGGAACAGCAAATGGACCCAGGTGCCAGCTGCCCTCGAGGCCTTCTCTGGGCCCAGGACACACTGATGTCCTTCTGCTCGCCCACAGGCCCTGCCTCGCCCCACACCTGCTGTCCTCACCTGTCTTCTTCCCCGGCCTTTGCTGTTTCTGACCCTCCGCTTACTGGTGACCGTCCTGGCTCCCAGCAGGGTCTGAGTGTTAGACTGAGCAGCCAGGTCCCCCACCCTGTGCATCTCTCTTTCCCTACAGTGGCGACCTCAGGTTTGGCAGCATCTCAGTTTGCTGGCAACCTCTGAGCAGGTGACTTCTGGCTCCATGACCCCTGATGGCTTTGGTGTCTCACCTGGCTGACCACCAGCTTTTACATCTCAGTGTCATGCTTTGAGCTAACGGTCAGGAGTGGTCAGGGTCGCTGTCCTGCAGGGGAACCTCTCCGAGTCTAAGAGGGATGGAGCTCAGGGGTGCCTGCTCTGAGGGCCCCACACAGCCTGGTGGAGCTACGGGTGCCCTGGAGAGAAAGGGTTTTGCCTGAAGCAGGAACCAAAACTGGGACCCAGCTATGCCTTCCCTTACTGGGACACCGGACCCCACAGTGGCAGCCAGGGCTGACTGCTCACACAGTTCCTCCAGCTGTAAGGAGCTCTGTACCCAGGGGGGACTTTCGATGAGAACATTCTAGGCTCCTCCATGACCATTTTAAAGACAATCAGAGAAAGAGACTTCAGTATCCTCAGAAGAAATGATGAGAGATCATAGCAACATTTTGAAGAAGGAACCAGGCCTGATTGTTTTTTCTTTAGCACTGGGATTGACCCCAAGGCCTCTGCACTGAGCTATGTCTCCAGTCCTTTCATATATTTTTTGAGACAGAATCTTACTAAGTCGCCCAAGTCAGACTCTGGAACTCACCATCCTCCTGCCTCGGCCCTCGGAGTGCTAGAGTGATGAGTGTGCACCACCAAGCCCGGCACAGGCCCTGAATTTTAGCATCTGACAGCTTGATGATCGCCCAGCATCCAGCACAGTGTTTAACGAAACAGCTTGTATTTTCAATTGTAGTTACATCTTCACCGTGTGATTAATGATGTCTTCAGAGGAAAACTGGATCACATAATAGATTCCTAGTAGAGAACGTAATTGTAAGAGGAGCCGCTCTGGGGGGAGCGGGTGCCCGCTGAGGGCCGCCTCACCGGCTGCTGGCACGGTAATTACCCACCCAAGGGGAGTCCGCTCACGTCGTGTGCTAGGTGATGGGCGGGCGATCGGGAGTAGTGTTGACTTTAGTGCCATCACACACAAGGAATCCCTGGGTTTGGTCCCTCTCGTTCATCCCCAGCAGGTGCTGTGTGGGTGTGGGTGTGGGTCAGACTCTCCTTAGGAAGAGTCCACCGGGTCGAAATCTCCGGAAAGATGGGACTTTATCCGCAGCGTCAGCCATTAACTTGGGAGCTGATTTGTGTTAGGATGTGGTGGCTGTGATTAACAGACTGAGGACCCTTAGTCCCAACCCTCAACCCACCGCAGAAGGACTTCTGATGAGTTTCCCTGTAGAGTTCCTGCTAGGCACAGGGGGATTGTTAGGGGTGGCAGATTCAGCTGTGACATTGGGAGGTCCCTCAGGGTGTGGGAGCAGGGAAGACAAGACTGAAACCAGCTCTGCAGGACTTGGTCAGGTACCTACAGGGAAACTTAAAAGTTTCTTGGTTCTGCTAGGGCTGCCCTGGGTAACACGGTGGTGCCCCAGCCTGGGAGCTGGTCATGGAAACGGAATGTGCCCATCAGGCCAGCTAGTGACAGAGTTCGGGGCCACAGCACAAGTGTGCATGTTCCCTGCTCGTTCCTTGCTCTTCTCCAGCTTGGCTGCCATTTCCAGATGGCCACTCTGGAGCGAGAGGTGGAACATGACCTCCTCCGTAGAAACCTAGAAACCAGGAAGGAGTTAAACATTCCAGGCACTCCAAATCCGATTATCCGCTAGGTGTGCTTTGAAGCTATAAAAATGCTTTTGGACCCCTTCTCAAATGAAAGTTTGCTTTCTCTTAATTTCCGTGGCTACTGCAGGAGACCTGTGCTCACAGGCTGGCTGACCAGAGGGCAGTTAATTGACCTGTTTCAGGAATCCTAGTAGGAAGCTTGGTTCTAATCAAGTGCAGGGTGTCCCAACCCAGCCCAGTGGAGGGTGGCTGTGGTGCTTCAGAGCAGAGGGTGGGTGACCAGGCGTGGAAGAGGGCCTATGGTCACCTCGCCTGCTTCTGTCCCTCCTGGCACTG